TCACAGATTTACTGCTGTTACTCGTTTACCCTTTGAGCTATGGCACTACAGGCTAGGCCATATTCCTCATTCTAAGATCTCTGTATTACAAAAGTTTGTACCTGAAATTGTATCACCTTCTGATTTTCATTGTAATGTTTGTCCTATGGCCAAGCAACATCGTTTACCTTTTCCAAATAGCTTACATAAATCCCAATCTATATTTGAGCTTATTCACTGTGACATCTGGGGCCCTTATCAGGCTCAATCTCTTGATGGCTCACAGTATTTTTTGACTGTAGTTGATGATCATAGCAGGGCCACTTGGACTTTTCCGATGAGAAACAAATCTCAAACCAAATAGATAATTCAGACCTTTTACCAAATGATTGAAACCCAGTTCAACTCCAAAACCAAAATCGTAAGATCTGATAATGACGCTGAATTTGCCATGACAGATTTTTACAATTCAAAGGGAATATTGCATCAAACTAGTTGCGTTGAAACACCGCAACAAAATGGGATTGTCGAACGCAAACACCAACACTTGTTGAATGTTGCTAGAGCGTTAAAATTTCAGGCCAAATTACCAAATAAATTCTAGGGTGAATGCATCTTAACAGCTACCTACCTCATTAATCGCACCCCTAGTTCATCCTTATCAAATAAGACACCTTATGAGATCTTATTTTCAGTCAAACCTGTTTACTCTAACCTGAGGGTCTTTGGCTCCTTATGTTATGCATCCAATCTTCATAGAAACAGGTCAAAATTTGATCCTAGAGCCGTTCCATGTATATTTGTTGGATATCCTACAAATCAAAAAGGATACAAATTATATAATTTGCATACCAAAACCATTTTTGTATCCAGGGATGTCATCTTTCATGAAACCATATTTCCATTCCATGATTATGCCTTCCTAACTTCTCTTGGCTATTCTGATGACGACTTCAATCAGCCTTCACATCATCCCTTGTTTCCTTATTCTCATTCTCCTATATTAGACAGTCCACCAGTTACCATTTCCCCAATGTTATCTTCAGTCCCAATCTCCACTCCGTCTCCTACTTCAACCTCTTCTCCTGATTCTAATTCACCGTCACAAGTACCCTCAAATATGTCTTTGCCTTCATCTTCTCAACAATTGCCTATCAATCACTCTCCCAAGAGATCAACTAGATCCAGGAGACCTCCCAAGTACTATCAGAAATTTCATTGCAATCTTGCTTCCCAAAACAGCAATCTTTCTTCACCTAACACAGCAAATTCCTATGGAATATCCAACATTTTGGGTTATGATTGTCTTTTAGTAGCTCACAGGGCCTATGTAATGTCACCTTCCACCAATGTTGAGCCTAGAAATTTTATGGAGGCTTCCAAATCTCCAGCTTGGTGTCAGGCTATGGATAGAGAATTTCAGGCTTTGGTTGAAAATAATACATGGACTGTTACTTCATTACCAGAAAATAAAGTGCCTGTAGATTGCAAGTGGGTATATAAAATCAAACTGAATCAAGATGGGACTGAGGAGAGGAAGAAAGCCAGGCTTGTGGCCAAGGGCTTCACCCAACAAGCAGGCCTTGATTATCAGGAAACTTTTTCCCCCGTAGCAAAGTTGGCTTCAGTTAAGGCATTGTTGGGAGTTGCAACTAGCAAGAACTGGTTTCTACATCAGCTTGACATAAATAATGCCTTCCTTCATGGAGACTTAGATGAGGAGGTTTACATGAAGTTCCCTCCAGGGTATGAACAACAGGGGAAGCATGGTGAGACATTAGTCTGTAAGCTGAATAAGTCAATTTATGGGCTCAAACAAGCCTCGAGGCAATGGAACACCAAGTTGTCATCTTTCATTGTTTCTCAAGGTTTTGTACAATCAAAATCTGATTACTCACTTTTCAGCAAACGCACAAGCTGCTCCTACACTGTACTTCTCATATATGTTGATGATATCATCATAGGGGGGAATGATTTGGTCTACAATGAACAGTTTAAAAGGAGTCTTGACTGCCAATTCAAGTTGAAAGACTTAGGAGTTCTGAAATATTTTCTAGGACTTGAAGTAACGAGGTCCAGAAAAGGAATTGCCATTTGTCAACGAAAATATGCATTAGAGATACTTGAAGATGCTGGTTATTTAGCCTCGAAACCTGCAAAATGTCCTATGTTGCAGAATCTGAAACTTAACAGAGATGAAGGGGAGTTACTGAGCAATCCTGGAATGTATAGGAGATTAATTGGGAGGTTACTATACTTAACCATTACAAGGCCAGATTTGTCATACTCAATACAGATTTTGAGTCAATACTTGGAGTCTCCTAGAAAGCCTCATCTGCAAGCAGCACATCATGTGCTTCGATATGTCAAAGGTACTTCAGGGCAGGGATTGTTCTTTGCAGCAGATTCAAGCCTGGAGCTCAAAGGTTTTTGTGATGCAGATTGGGCATCGTGCACAGATACTAGGAGGTCGGTTACAGGCTTCTATATATTCCTTGGAAGTTCTCTGATATCTCGGCGTTCAAAGAAACAACACACCATCTCAAGGTCCTCAGTTGAGGCTGAATACAGAGCCATGGCTGCAGCAGTCTGTGAAATGACTTGGCTTAAGAAATACTAAATGATCTAGGAGTTGATCATCCTAAGGCTGCTATCTTATTTTGTGACAATCAAGCAACGATTCATATAGCTAGCAATCTAGTTTTTCACGAAAGGACAAAACATATTGAGCTAGATTGTCATTTGGTAAGAGAAAGGATACAATCAGGTGACATAAAAACCATGGATTTGTCCACACAGAATCAGTTAGCAGATTTGTTGACAAAGGCATTAG